CCCCAAAACCCCAAAACCCCAAAACCCCGTTAGTTGAGAATTGAACCAATCAGAATGATAAATTTTTTTTATCTAATAGAAGTTCGAATTTCTAGTTAATCTCAAATTTTTTTTTAAAACTTCGAAGTATTTTTAAAAGTAGGCACTATAATCACAATATTTCAACTAAAAAATATTATCAAATAAGAAAATCAGAACACATTAAATGAAGTAAAATACTCACACAAAAAATAAAAGCTCAGTTGTACCGCTTAGAGCTGAAGATAAAACTGTTGATAAACTTATAGACGAAGTTTTCAATGAAGACGGGAACAAAACTGGCAGAAATAGTCCAAATCTAATGCCAGAAGAATTTGCAAGCTTTATTGGAGATGATTATAAACTTCTCAATAGTAAAGATAATAGTCTTTCAGACTTAACTAAAATTTAAAATGATGAAGATGAAGAAGCTGATGGCAACAAAGAAGATCCCGACGAGAAGGAAGATGATGAATAAGAAGATGATAAAGATGGATAAAATACGAAAGTCAATATGTTTAATAGTTAGAAAACTGATTTGAAAAGATTGAATACTGTCAAAGCCGTGAGAAAATATACAATGATAACTGACAGAATCACCTAATCTGGCAGGCATGGTAAAATCTTGAGTAAATAAGACAGGGAAACAAAAGAGATGCTAGATATTTTTCAAGAAGTTGAGACTAAACTCTAGTCTAAAAAAGTGCATGCTCAAAAACTTTAGGAATTTAAAATTTCTGTAAAACTTAAATTTCTTGGACTCAGTACTTGGTTTGTCTACTCTGATGTCCTATACAATATAGAAATTAAATAAGAAAAAGGTCTTATTGGAAAATATAATGATTCCAAAACTCCATTTTAAGCTTATGATGATTTTTATAAGGATTAAACAAATGGTCCATAATAATTCAAAGATGAGACAAATAATGAACCTATTTCTGAATTCTCAATATATCAGGGAAAATCAAATGTAAAAGAGTGGGATAAATATATGTTCTAAATAGTATTGTATACTATTCCAACCCTTGAAAAAGTTGGTACTCTCAGTCTTCCTTTCACAAATTTTCATCATAAAATTGATTTTAAGGTACTTAAACACAATAAATTTCTATTTCATGATGATAAAGAATTTGTAATACTCAATCTTGATACTAAAGATGAAAAGATAAATACTATATAGCTGATATAATTTTCAGATAAATCAGCTGAAGGTGGCAAATAATCAGCTGATGATAACAATTAGAGTACATTTTTAGTTTCTTATATTGGAAAAAATGAATTGATCTTTTTCGGTCATAATTAAAAGTACCATGTTAATCTTCCGAATCTTGTTATATAAATACAAACATGCAATATCAAGACGAATGAACTGAGTTTGATTAAATGTGGTGAATTTCTAATTCTTGTCAATAATTAATTCAAGATTGACAAAGTCTTAGATATTGATAAGAAAGATTTCTTGGAAAATTTTGAAGAAAAAGAAGATGAATCATCATAGTTCATCTGTAACAGTCCAAATACGATTTGTAATAAAGGCCTCATAATCAATAAAAAGAGTCTCTTCAAAGTTTAAAAAACCATGAAAAAGCTCGATATTGAACCTTAATTGCTAGAAAACTTCAATACTGTACTATCTTAAAAAGATACATCCGTTAAAGCTCAGTATGACTCTTACAATAATCAGATCTATTTTTACATTGATAGGAAAGATGCTGATGGTAAAGATCTATTCAGAGTCCATTTAAGTGAAAGAGAATATTAAGTAACACATCCCATAATTCAAACTAGATTTGCTTCTAGCTCAAAAGATTTACTTATGAATTATATCCAAGATGATTACTTAATTTGTTGCTTTATCAATATTGAAGATGATACTAGCAAATATTTAGAGGTTATTAAATTCTATAAGCATTATAAATTCAAATTGGTAAGTTATGAACCATTTGAAATGGGTAAAATATTAGAGATTCAAAGGAGTTTAACAAAGGATACAAAATAAATGGATCAGAAGAAATTTAGAATAAGTCATAAATAAAAGCATTTAATTGTAAATTACACAGAAAGGCCAAAGTAAAATTAAAGCTATTTGAATTTGAAGGATACTTTTGTTGATACATTTTATGTAACAAACTGCGAATTTATGAAATCTGAGATTTTTGATATTCCAAAAGAACAGCTTAATCTATAATGTATTTAAATTTAAGAAAAAAATATTTTTACTTCCTATATAAAACAATGTGATGATTATCTTTGGGACTTTACCATTAATTACATTCCTTAATAATAAATTTCCTAACTAAATCTAGTTGCTTTTGATAAGGTGAAGAAATAATCTTTTTCATTTAAAATATACGAACAAAAAGCTGATCCAGAAAACAAATTAACATAAGAAATTAAAAGGGTGCATTTGTCTGAATGCCTTACATAAATTATAATCCTTGACACTTTAAACAAGGCAAAAATATACAACATTAATGAAATCTTGAATGAAAGTGATTATATCCCAATAGATAATTTTATTACTTTAATCAGGTTTTCTTCTAGCTAATTCGTTTACATTCAATTAAAAGAGAAAAGATATTTCCTCAAATTCTGTAAGATTGAATAAAAATAGTTGATTGATATTGACTCTGTAAGTCTAGATCAATATATTAAGGACATCCAGCTTTTCGAAAAATTAGATTTGATCAAGTATAAGTACTACGAGAGTTAATCTTTGGTGGTCCGTGACAAATACTTACTGATAGATTTATATGATCAATATTTAATTTATGACCTTACAAAAGATATATTTATGGGAAAAATTTAAATCTAAAATTAAAAAAGAAATTTTTCACTAACACATTAACTTAACTAATTGACTCTCTCAATGGATAATCCAAATAGAAAAGGTAAAAAGATGTTTTATATCTTTGAGGGTTTTTTAGAATCATATTTCAGATTGAATTATGGCCAGTTTGATGTAGCCTATGATTTCGAAGAATGCTTAATTATATTCAAGGATTTCAGCAATCAGCCAATCGGTGTGGTCTCATTTGAGCAAGATTTACAACTTTCAATTGACTAGATTGAGCTGGTTGATTCTAGAAAAAGTGATTCATTCGCTATTTAGAAAATCAATAAAATGAGTTTTAGAGAAATCGCAAATTACATTGATTCATTCAACGGGACTCTTCTTCATATTATTGCTGGTAAATCTGATATTGTTGTAAATTCTATAAGACAAAGACTATCGAATCAGTAAAATCAGTATGATTATATGCTTTTTGTGAATAATGAATAAGGTCATAGTGCTTTTGATTATTATGTTATGAATGACGATTACTAAAAAATCAATTTCGCTTTAGATCTAATGGTGAGATTCTAGAATAATAGTCTGTTCAACTCAATTGTTGACAAGAATCTTATTTATTTAATAGAAAAAAACTTCGACCTTAAAGACTATTTATAATCAAAGCTCCCTATATGCTACATAGAGACATCTTATTATCCATAATACTCAAAGGATCCAGCTACTCTCTTTATATCCGAATTTGATTAGAGTTCAAGTCTTGCAAGAATAAATTACTTTTATAAGGATGAAGTCAGAAAATACTTAAAGAAAGATGATAAAGAGGGTGTTACTCAATAAATTGAATATCTATTGCCAGTGATTCCAATATCTTTTTCTCATCCTTAATTTATGGAGGCCTTATAACAATCTAACAATGAAGACTTATTCGAATCAGATCTAATATAGATTGCCTTAAGTTTTAAATGGGACAAATATGCATTCAAGTTCCATTTGTTATCATTTTTATAGTTCTTCATATTCTTAGTAAACTTCATTGCTGATGTATACTTTTTGGTATTATATGAGGATTAAAGAAGCATATACTAATAGTGGACTGTTAAAATAATTGGTATATTTTATATACTTTTCTAGCTATAATATGAGTTCAAAACAATATTAGTCTAAGGAGTCCTTAACTATCTTTCAGAATATTGGAATTATGTCGATATATTCTTGATCCTGCTTTATGTTGGATGTGGAATTATAGATTTGATGCATACTAATTTCTAACTGGAGAGGCTATTGTATAGCATTTGCTTAGTTTTCGTTTTCATTAAATTTTTCTCGTATTTGAGAATTTTTTAAGGATTTAGTTTTCTAGTTCAAATGCTTAGAGCAGTCTTTGTTGACCTTAAGTTCTTTATTGCATTGTACGGAATAGTTATTGTTCTCTACGGGTTAATATTTACAATTTTGGAGATTAAAGCAGATGTAGATGACAGTGAATATTAAGGTATTAGTTACTTCGGCTACTTTATTATGTCTTTCAGAGCTTCTACAGGTGATTTTTAAGTTGACAATTTCCATCTCTTAGATAGCTACCACGTTTAATTTGCTTGGATAATTTGGGTTACATCAGTATTGTTTCTAAATATCATCTTACTGAACTTCATTATTGCTGTTATTTCATAATCATATGAGAAAATTATGCAGAGAATGATTGCCCAGTCTTATATGGCCAAAGCTAAGTTGATTTATGAATGTGAGTTGCACTATAGCCGCTATGGTAAAGGTGATTCTCATTTCCCAAGATATTTCATTCTAAGAAGAATTAAAAATAATGTCTTGCAAGGTGATGCAGAATGGCAAGGATTTGTTAAGGATATTAAAAAAACAATGGAGAAGGTTAAAGTTCAACTAACAGAGAAATAAGATACTTCTACTTAAAAAATTTATAAGAAACTTGATGAATTCAGAAATATGATCTAAGCGAATAACGAAGAATAGCACAGGAACGCTCATGAAGATCTAAAGAAGTTAAGATCATCTTTCAAAAGACAAGAATGGATGATGAGAGCGGTGTTGGATAATCTATACGGGGCTGATTTTGACATTTAAAATTTTAAACCCTCTTAAGCAAAAAGAGGAGCAAAGACAACAGCAGCAACATCAAAAAATAACAACACAGTTAAAAGAAATTGATTATAATAAGGAATTATCCTACATAATTATTTTATCAATCAAATAATAATTGCATTTTATTATTTATTTGTATACAATATTAACTCTCTGATCCCTAGAGAATGCTTAATATGGGGTTTTGGGGTTTTGGGG